AAGGTTATTTATAATTTTTTTTTTTTTTTTTTTTTAACTTTCTTTAACTAACAAATTTAGACAAAATAGTATAATCTGAAAGGATGAATGCAAGCTGCAATAATCATGTAATGCATATTTATATATATACACTATGAATACACCATGAATTCTATAAAAATACTAACTCTATATTACAGCATCATGATTGATCAATTTATTATAGACCAAATCGAATATATTCTAATCACTCTAACTGTTAATAAAAAGAAGATGATATTATCAGTTCATAGTTATCTTTAAGAAAAAATAACCAACCAAAAGTCAAAGCAAGCCACTAACCTTCGTAAAGAAGTTTTCTTAGCAACAGGAGTTAGTAAAGCAACTGTTGCCCGTGTTGTTGCTGAATTCAATAAAACTGGAAAGATTGCACCATCAGATCAAGGTCACTGAGCTCCCAAAGATTTTCAACCAGAATACATAAATGCAGTTCATGATTTAATTGTCTCTGCAAATAGAGATGATTCTCCACTTTTTCTTCAAGCCCTAGTCTTTGAATTATCAGAATTAGATTTTGTAATTTCAAAGGCACAACTTGCACATTACTTGAAGAAGCTTGGTTATTATTACAGTAAGGGAGAATGATGGAATATTATTCATGAAGTCCCTCAAAATATTTTGTATTAGGCACGATATCTCTGTTGGTGATTTAAAAATATTCAAGGACAAAATAATATACTAACTCTTCCAGAAGTTTTTCTTGACAAATTGTATTGCTATATGTACTATAATTGCAATTTGACCTGAGTTCCAAAAGATGGTGTAGTATATGAAAAGAGAAGGGGTGTATGTTGGTTATATTTGGAGCTATCATCATTTTTCATAATAGAAATAGCAATAAAGTAGAAGGAGAGTTCGTTCATAAATCTCTTCTAATTTGGAACTCTACTGCAAAACCACCTACTAGAAAAGGAAAAAAGAAAAAGAATACAAAAGCATGAGAAACAGTTCTAGATAAGGTGAAAATGGCTGGTATTGTTTCAGATAAGGTGTATTATTATGGGAATTTTAATGCAGAAGTTTTTGAAAAAATTTTTGAAAACCTTTGTGAAAATCTTTACAATAATTATGGACCATGTGTTATCTATATAGACAGGGCAAAATACTACAAACGTCGCTCTGAAGCAGCACCAACTTCTAATTGGAATAAATCTGCAATAAAAGAGTGGCTAGAATCCACAATATTAATTTTCTTTAAATTTATAATATATATGCAAAATATCACTATAACCATTTTTACTTAATATATGAATAACGATTTACATAAAAAAAAAACTTTTATATGTATCAAATTTACCACATGAGGTATATATAATGAATATT